TTTGGTTTATTCTAATTTCGAAGCTATTTTTGATTTTAAAATTTAAGTTAAATAAAAGCAAATGTACCCGAAATGAAGCATAACGAATGATTTCTCCTGTGCTACGTTTCAGCTGGGAACCTTCAACCGTAACACCGCTGACCACCAGTAAATCCAGCTGCTCTCTAGCATCCACTGCATGCGAAATAAGCACTTCTGAAAAATAATGAGGAACATTTGAGGAAAATTCATTAACTAAATTGAATTTTTACGTAATTTCACAACTCTGCCAATTGCTGGGGTGTTTTGATGTTGAAAATGCACAGAGAGGAAGTAAATTACTGAATGGTGCCTAAAAAAATGCTAGAAATTTCTGCTGTATCATCCCATAGCGTTGGGTCTTAAGCAGACCGTAGCAACCAGGTCAATCCTGAAGATCTTAACATGAAGTTATCAAACAATAAACACCTAGAAAAAAAGAGGCAGCAAAATTTATAAGAATTTTTTGGCGCTTCAAATCACGCTGTTGCAAGACCTCAAATTTATGGTACCAACTAGGAATTTCTTCCTACTTGGTTATTTAACAGTATTAATGTATAAACGAAGCAAACCTTGTCCTTTGCGCTGCTTCCACAGAACAATTCCGTCGCGCATTGGACTAATGAAATCTTCTCGAAGCAACCGAAACTGAACATCCAGATAATGCTCCTGGTTAGCATAGATTCCTTCGACGATATTTCTCCGTAAATAGGGTCGAACTACAAAATAAATTTCTATTTTCGAGACCAGTTAAAAAGCTTATAAAATGTACAGTAGCAAAGGTAAACAATAAAAATTGCTGCAAAAATCACTTTTGACGAACGACAAAAGCTAATCGGAAGTGATCTGTCCCTGTACCGAGGCATCATTCGCCCAAGAGTTCGCTTGTAGGCAACATAAAAGAGGTTTTTAACCCACAAAATATGACAAGTCCCTAAATTTTATGTATGGAATCCCGAAAAAAAAATATGCAAATCCCCTTGGATGGGCAAGAAAAGAGCAAAACATAGGCACATGAGTTGCGCGTGGTACACTGTAAAGCAACAACCATTCATTCATACTGTTAACGATCTGATTGCATCAAGTCTGGCGCAAAAACGCATTGTTCCACGGGCAAGCCAGGTGCATTGCTACTTGGGTTTTATTAAAAGGTGGCTCGCGTGCTTAAATAATTATGCAAATCAGTCCCCCATTTTGCCAAAAGTCGCTCATGCCTGACTTAAATAATACCTGGATGAAGTATATCCTTGCCAACAATGTACACTGGCAATGTTCGGAAATCTTCCGGTGGTTCGATTGCATCACAATCTATCCAGGCCGGTTTGTATTCTTCAAGTTTGCATTCCTCAACAAAAACATCCACGTTTTCAGCAGAACTAGAAGCAACAGTAGCTTCCGTCGCCTGCCTGCTGCTTTCTCGTGATCTGTGTTCGTCCGGTGGCGTTGTAGAACAAGACGAATCAGACTATAGGATATTTTCAGTTAGAAAATCATCAAATCAAGTGTTCAGTGATGTTAAACAGTACAGCCCATATCGTCAACGATAGCGGAGTGCGACTTCAAAATGGGGCTCTTCGCTGATAACCAATAGGCGGATCCAGGATGGATTCCTAGAAGAGAGGGGAGAAGGGGGAGAGGCGGGGGAGGAGGGAGGTGACGGGGTTGGGAGGGGGGGGGG